TGAGAGAGAATGTCCATTTGAAGATCAGAGATGACGATTACGTTGCAGAGGCCGTAGCCTCTAGCCTTGCACCAACCGGGGGTGAGGGGCTTGGGGCTGAGTGAAACAGAAAGGAGATTAGGGTTTTAAAAGTTAAAAAATAAAATACGTAAAAATAAAAGTAAACAGGATAAGTTTGGAATTTAAGAAATATTGGGGAGGTGTTGGAAGAAGATAGGGTGGTGGAGGGAGTACCTCTCTTCGCCTTGTACCTTCAACCCTTTCACCTTACACCTTCAAAATTATACAGAATGCCAAATTCACCTCAATTTAAAATATTTTTAATTTTATAAAAACGATAAAATTTAGTCATGGTCATGGTCAAAGATTCTATTTAAAACAAAAATAGTTCTCTCTCAATTATTCTTTAAGTTGATATTTCTCTTTCTCTCCTTTAGATCTTATTCTTCTCCTTCCATCCTCTATTTGCTCTGCTTTGCCTCTTTCAGGAACACAGTGTTTTTCGTCTTTCTCTTTCGTTGCTCTTGTTTAGTCCATTCTCGTTGTCCAAAAGGTTGGTGCATTGATTTATTATATTTGTTTTCAATGTTATAATATATTGTAGATATAAAAAAAGATCATAGAGGTATGATTTAGGCGACTAGAAGTTGAGTAGAAAATGTTAATGAGAAGTTTGAGGGTGTTGCTCCCTCCACCACCACACCTTTCTCCCTCCACCTCCCCAATTTTTTTTAATTCCAATTATATCCTCAAATTAAATTTTTTTACTTATACTATTTTAATTTATTTCAAACCTAGTTCTCCTACTTTACTCCCTGCACTCAATCTTTCCATCTCTCAATTCCGTTTAACAATTTGTCTTTAGTTTTACTCTACAACTCCATTTGTCTTCTTCGTTTCACTTCTCCTCCTCTGTTTCTTTCTTCTTCATTTTCCTTACATTCTTAAAATACATTAAAAATATATTCAAAAATAATAAATCAAAACATTTAAATTAAATTATTAAAATATTTCTAAAATAAAGAATAAACTAATAAAACAAACCTTAAAATTAAAAACGTAGGTGACATCCTTCAACGCATGTCAACATCCGTTTAACAAGACAAAAGTACATCAATCTTGAGCGTTCGGTATTAATCTGAAATTCTTAAGTTTGGATCTTAAATGGTCGGTTTTGATGTATTTGATATAATAAGCGTTCGGTTTTGAGTTGGTAGTCTCAACTGGTGATTCTAAGCGTTCGGTCTTAAATTGATAGGCTTCAATCTTGAGCTTTCAGTCTTCGTGAAATAGTGATCGTAGGCATTCGTCTTTCAATTGATATTCTCAAAAAGTGCTATTTAGCGTTCGGTCTTGGTTCTGTATTAGAAATTATAAGCGTTCGAATTTATTGAGGTATTCTCAGATTTAGCTTGTGAGCGTTCGGTCTTAATTTCGATTCTTAGGTTTGAATCTTAAATCGTCCTGTGTTGATGTATTAGTGATTGTAGGTGTTCGCCCTTAAATTGAAATCTTAGGTTTGAATCTTAATCGTTCGGTCATGGTGAACTAGTGATTATAAGTGTTCGTCCTAAATTGGTATTCTCAGGAAGTGATCTTGAGCGTTCGGTTTTAATTTGATAGTTTTAAGTTTGAATCTTGAGCGTTCGGTATTATTATGTTATTAGTGATTGATAGCGTTCGACCTGGATCAGGTATTCTGAGGTTTAGATTGTAAACGTTCGGCCTTGGTGTATCAGTGATTTTTAGCGTTCGATCTTGATCTGATAGTCTCAGGCTTCAATCTAATTTGTTCAGTCATATTATGTGTTAGTGAACGTTCGGTCGTGTTATTGTTTGCAGTTAGTGATCGTCCATAGTGAGCGTCCAATCTTGGTGATGTTTTCTGGTTGGTGATCGTTCATATGGAACGGTCGTTCTTGATGACGTTTGTAGTGCATGTCTTAGGCAGCGTTCGGTCTTCATGATGTTTAATCTTTGAGCGCTCGTCCAAACAGTGATGAATTCAGTATGATGTTCAATGGTTTAGCGTTCGGCCTAAGTACTTAATCTCATGACGTTCGGCCGAATAGTGTGCAATTTAATATGGTACTCGGTTTTAGCATTCGGCCTGATAGTATAGGGTATGATAGCGTCCGTCCAACAGTGTTGACATCCGTATTTTCCTTAAACGGATGTTGACATCCGTTTTTTCCTTAAACGGATGTTGACATCCGTTGAAGGATGTCACCTCTGTTTAAAGGTTACATTTTTTATTTTAGGGTTTTATTTGAAGGTTTATTCGAATACGCATCTTGAGGAAGTAACACATGCACTGCACCACTCCACACATTGCACTACGAGAGCGACACTGCACCACGAGAGGGAGACTGCTTGATAATTCTTTCCACCACCATCAACCTTTACCACTTTTGGTATCTCATCGACAAAAGAAAGAGAGAAATAAATATAATGTTAAAATAAAAGAAAAATATTTTACTCATATACGAACGACTGAAATAAGTTATTAGTGGAATAGGTTGTGAATGAGTAAAATTAAAAAATAATCCTAAAAAAAAAATTTACTTAGGGGCAAAATAATAAATGGAAGGTGGAGGGAGAAAGGTGTGATGGTGGAGGGAGCAACACCCGAAGTTTGATTGCTTATCTAGGCTGAATCGGGTTTGGAATTGAGTAGAGACTGAATCGGATGTCGAAAAGCGATTCAGCCCATTCGCATTTCTAAGACTGATGCAACTATTTTTTTCATTTTATTTTAATAATTTAATGTTATCTAAATTTTTTGTTTATATTTTTTGCAATTTTAAATTTTTATCTGTAATTAATTATTTTTGTTTTCAATTATTTAATGTTTTACTTGTTTTATAGTTTTTTATTTTTTATAATTTGAAGATATTTTGTTAGTTTTTAATGAATTATTAGGTTTTTACAATTATATAAAATTTTCAATTAATTAAATTTGTTTTGAATTAAAATTAATTGTTTGTAATTATTTAATAGACACATATTTATGAATAAGATTTTATCATTTGATAGACATATATTTATATTAATTAATTATTTATTTATATTTTGATTACGTTTTATTTTCATTTATTTTATGTTTTTTTTATAGTTTGTTAATTTTTATTTTAATTTAATTGTTTTATTTTAAATAATTAATTAGTTATATTAATATTTGAATTAGTTATTTTTCATTTGTATTAAATAATTTAGTTTGTAAATATTTAATATAAATTATAATTTTTTTGAACTATATACAATTTATAGTTTTTATTTGTAATAATATATTAATGAATTAATTAAATTGATTAAATTTTATTGTTTTCAATTATTTAATATTTTATTTGTTTTCTTGTTTTTTAAATTTTGATAATTTTAAGATATTTTGTTACTTTTTTTAATTAAATATTACTAACTTATAATTATTAAAATATTTTAATCGATTAAATTCTTTTGAATTAAAATTAATTGTTTGTAATTATTTAAAAAAATTGAAATTTTTATAATTTTATAGAATTGAATGTTTGATTTGTTTTGTAGCTTTTTAAGCTTTTATAATTTGAAGATATTTTGTTAAAATTTTCAATGAAATATGATGAATTTATAATTATATAAAAATTTGAATTAATTGAATTTAATTTGAAATAAATATTTTCGTTTATAATTATTTAAAATTTGTATAGTTTTTTAAAATTTAAGTATTTTTTGTTTGTAGTAATATATTATTTAATTTTATAATGACGTAATTATATTAATGAAATAGTTAATTTGATTTGAATTAAACAAAAATTGTTTTCAATGATTTAATATTTTTTAATAGTGCAATCTTATTTTACTTTAAGTTACTATGATTTTTTAATAATATAATTATATTTAATAATCGTATAATTATTTAAATTGATTAGTTTTTGTGTAATGTTGTTAATAAGAAAATTTAGGATAAATATGGTTTATAATCGAGGTGGATCTTTATATTAGGGAAAGAGTTCATCATACATGTGTAAGAAGGAGATCTGTTTTTGACTTTCTCAATGTAAACTTGTTTATATTGTAGTTACATTATGATGATTATTTTTTTAAAAGTTAACAAAATATTTATAGGTATTACTTGAGTTTTAGTTATATCAATAAATATTGTTTGTTCAGTAGAATTTAACCTAATAGCATTAAGATGTTGCACCAACATTTCTACTAAATCGTGGTTTTAACTTGAAATAACCAATTTAATAACACTCTTCATTGGTGTATATGTACTAGATTGGATATTGGATTTATATTTTCATATTTTCACCTTTGTATTCTATTATCGATAACATTTATTTGATATTTTGACAAACCCTATTAAAGTATAACAAAAACACAGACAATTACCTTCTGTGTGTATCTGAGGATAGTATTGAGATGGACAATAACATGTTTATTTGTATATTTGATAAGGTCTTGTCTCGATATAAGCAAAATATGATATTGTGTTCTGTATTATACTCAACAAACGTGATCATGTCACGCGATGCAGATATTTCATTAAAAATACAAATGATCAATTATTGGAGAATTTTAATAGAAAATTGGGTGGTGCTAATATCAATGCCCATCCTATTACTGTCAATGGACTTCACGATCCAGTCAAGGAGGAAACACGAGAAATTCAGCATCAGTAAATGGGCTTGGCTAAAAGGCTTTTTTCTTTTTTTGTGGTTCTGGAGTTTACTTGACCATGCTGGGTTAAGTGGAACTTAACTTTGAATATAATAACTTAATAAATAATTAACACTGACACCTCCTATTTTCAGAACTATAAATGAGAAATAACGAAAATAACATAGCTTCTTATTGTTTAACAAAATCAGATAGAATTCTACAATAGAAAAACATTGTTGTGTTCTTTTAAATATAGTCAATCGACCATTATTATTATTATTTTTTATCGTTGTAGACTGAAGCTGAACGGTGATAAGGAAAACAGTTATTGACTTATTGGTAGTAATGAAATTCGCGGTTTCTTTAGAAGCCAAAAAAACGCGCGAATAGGAAATAGGACGCGTGCCAAGAATAGCGCGTGGTCCGGTATAGATTTTCGATGAATACACGCTGACAAAGACATGTCAACGTGACGGTCCAACCTCGTCTAGGTGCAAACCGTTCTTCCTCACGCGCATCTGAAAGCGCATCGTCGCCGCCAGTAACTGCACTGTCTGCGGCGGGATTAAGATCTCCACCACCTTCCTCATCGTCGACGCGCGAAGCGCGTCGCCTTTCTCGAAAACCTTCTTAAGCGCTTCCTTGAGTTCCTGAACCGCCGCTTGCTGCTCCGTTTTCTCGCCGTCAACCACTCTGACGAGCACCAGCATGCGCGGACTTGCCATGCTCTCTTGAACGGAAGCCATAGCCTCGGAAACCTCTCTCTCAGCTCGCTTGGTCTCGTCCCCGACTCGCTCCATTTTCTCCCTCTGCTCCGCCGTTAAGCCCGTGACATGGCCGTTGGCGAGACGGAGAATGAGCGAGGGCTTGTAGTCCCCAATCCAGAGCAGCGACCTCTCGTAGGCGGAAAGCCAGGGCGGGGAAAAGAGAAGGAAAACGTCGCCGTTGGCCACGTTCGATTTCTCTTCCAAAAATTGCTGGTAATGACACATAACTTGCTCGATCAGCATCCTCTGTTCTGCGTCGTTATCATTGGGCGTGACGCTCAGAAGCTGCTGAAGGAAATTTTCGTGCCGCGCAAGCCACTCCTCGTAGAACGCCTCGAACGATTTCTGAACATTCTCCTCGGGCATGCTCGCGAACATTGACATTGTGAAGTAGTGGTAGCAGCAGTGTAAGTGGTTGCGAGAGTGATGGTTTATTGGTTAGCGATTTCAGGAATGTGCGCAATTTATTATCGTCTCGTTTTTGTAATTTTATTTTTTAATTAGGGACAAAATTTTCTTAACTGGTAAGGTTGGTTTTAGGGATTTGAAAATGTGGTATTCTGTAGTGTGTTGTCGTCTTGTTGATTTGTTTATTATTTTTTTAATGGAGAATAAATTTTCTTAGCAGGTAAGGACTTTGGTGTTGTTTTTCCGCGTATTAGAAGAGTGAGAGTGGTGGCACTGCATGAGCATGGTTGCGCCATGGCGGTGGAAGTCATGGAGTCTCCGTCGATTGCATGCCACGTCGTTGGTTGAGCCACCGTTACTTTTGAAGCAACCAAAAGACACCAAGAACGACACCTTCGTTCCACCCATCATAACAATTGCAATTTATTGTTATTTTTTATTAATTGGTTTAAGAGATAATAAAGTAATTTATCAGCACAAATTAGGATTAAGATTAGTTTTTTACTATAATTATCTTCTAGTAACTTATGTGGTTGTTTTGTTTGTCTACAACGCAATTTTGGGCTTGAAGTCTGGCCCAAACGGGCCCAAGGAAAAAATTAGCTGTCCAATTATCAAAGAGCATAAGATTCTGAGTTTTTTTTTTCCTTTAAATTTTTGAAGGATATATAAAGTAAATGCTTACGTGTATTAGTCCTGAATGGTTTACGAGAATCTGGGTGCCATGAGGCGGTGCTTCTTCCGTTAAGTAACATTTCCGCATAGTTATCGGGAACTTTCTTGTTATACGGGGTCACAAATGGGAATGGGATAAAACAAATTAATGCATTTTTATTAATTATAAATACAATTTGAGAATATGATAAACTCTATTCAATAAAAATAATCCAATTAAGATATTAATAATGTTTATTGATTAATATCTACTCTGTCCATAATGATAATAATATTTTAGAAAAGTTTCAAAAATGGTTTTTGCAAAACAAATCTAAAGATATACTTTCAAAATTTTAAAATAACTTAATTATGAAAAAATGGTTAATTAATTTTTTTATAATAAGATAAATGAATTGGTTTATGAATTTTTGGGGATGCGTAGCACAATGCTTCCTGTGACAGCCAAGGTTGGGCTGTCATGGCAGTGTTCATTAGCAATCTGACTGCCGAGTCCAGATTTGGCAATTTGACAAGTTGTGAGATGCCATAACATAATGCAATGGCAAGAAAACCGTACTCCACTTCGTTTGAATAGAGGAATTTAGAAAAAAAAAATGAATAGATAAATTTCAGTTGATTTAGAACTAAAGTTATAGTTGTTTTTTTCCCATATATTTGGAAATAAAAGTAAGTAAATTTATAAGTAAATTCATAACTATTTTTTTAATATATGAGTGATTTGAGTAATATTAAAAAAAAATATATAATAGATATAAAATTAAGATTTCATCTACACAAATCTTGTAGTTTGGAGTAAGATGAGATTATACTACATTCTTACTAATATGTCCACACTCCAAAATTTTTTTAATTTATATATCCGTCCCTCCGAATACATTCGTAGGAGCATTATTCTCACTGCATTATCCCTTCTTCACAGCCACTGGTCACTATTTTTCTGATTATATAACACCATTACACACTGTAATTTAAGCTGCTGGCCACTTGTTTCATTGAACGATAAAGTTGTCATTTCACATTCCTGAAAAAGTGAGAGAAAACTATATATTATTACACCATTATTATAAAATCATGATTCCGTACAATTAAATTAAAAAATCAATTAAATTTAAATTAAACGATAACTTGAAACGTAAAAGTAAAAAAAAGTGTGAATAGAAAAAAGAGAAATTCTCTTTATTAAATTAATTATTAGTAAGCATTAATAGAATTTTTTTTCAAAAAAGAAAAAGTAAAAAGTAAAAAGTAAAAAAGAAGAGTATCTAATAAACCTAAAAATTTTAGGTGTCTCAGATAATATTACTCTGTGTAAATAGGTGGTGGGATGAGGGTATGTTTGCAATAAACATTCCCATTGACACGGTCACACATTGTCTGTCCGAAGAGCAGTGTCTCGACAGAATGAAGTGTGCTACAATGCCCTTCTCCAGCGGATGCGCCACTCTTCTCTCTTTCTCTCTCTTTTCCTGGTCTTGCGCTATGCCCTGAGGAAACGGTCGCACCGAGATTGCGAACAAGCTAGAGATGGGGACGGAAGGGTCACGGAATTTGGAATTCGTACACAATGGCGAATCAAGAAACTCAGCAGCGCCGTCCCCGTCAACAACGCCGGTCCAAGGATCGACCGGTGGTCCCGGCTAGGGTTCCGTTGAGGCTGTTGCTGCGGGTAGCGTCGGTTGCCGGAGGCATTCAGTTTGGGTGGGCATTGCAGCTCTCTCTTCTGACGCCGTACGTGCAGCAGCTGGGGATCCCGCACGTGTGGGCCAGCATCATATGGTTGTGTGGGCCGCTCTCTGGGCTGCTGGTGCAGCCCCTGGTGGGCCACTTGAGCGACCGCTGCACCAGCCGGTTCGGCCGCCGGAGACCGTTTATCTTGGGCGGAGCATTGGCGATCATCATTGCTGTTCTGATCATCGGTCACTCCGCGGACATCGGGTGGTGGTTCGGCGACACGCCCAAACATCGCCCCTGGGCTGTGGGCGTTTTCGTTTTCGGGTTTTGGATTTTGGACGTGGCTAACAACGTCACTCAGGGCCCTTGTAGAGCCTTGCTTGGTGATCTCACTGGTATATCTTTCTTCCCTATGAATTTCCAATCGTTAAGGACCAATTCAAAGCCCTAAATTTGCACTTTCCTCCTTAAATATGAATTACATGTTCGTTTTTTATTCTCGTATTGTACTTTTTTTTCTTGATTCTTCCACAAAGGCATGCTATCATCATATATTCAGTTTGGCTCCAACATATTTGTTGCTTAGATTGGTTATTATTACTGTAACCTGCCAAGGAAATACTTTAAAAACTACTAAATTGATGAGCTAACTATTAGGTAATGTTGATGTCTCAATTTTCAACATATTAGATCGTGTGACAAAGTAGTGCATGAAAAGTTGATGTTCAATTTGGAAAACTTATGTGCGTTTGGTACAGAACTGCAGCTCCGTAATTTTTATTTGATACACAAACTGAGGCCGTGTAGCTTGTCCAGGCTATTCAAGGGTTTGCTTCTCTCCAAATTGATAGTTAGAGACAAAATTGCCCCGACTGTCTTACATTGGTTTCTGTCAAGGAAACTATAAGTCACTTATTATTGTTTTGGATAGAAAAGTCTCCCTAGGGTTAGAGTGGCTTTTTCTCATGGTATTCGAATTGTCAGCATGGGTTATTTCCGATGTATAACTACAACGTGCTTTCCATGCTTTAATCAGGAAAGTAAATACGGTTTTCTTAGATGGGAACTGAAATTATTGATTATGCTGCATTGCATGTACTCGTGATTTTGGTTTCTTAATGTTCACTTTTTTCAGAGGCCATTTTGGTTGAAGTCCTTGTGCTATCTGTTTCTTTTTTCAAGACCCTGTGATTCTGAAGATCTTTAAATAACTGGATAATTTGAAGATTTATGTCAGGGGAAGCCAAGGTTATCAAACTCGAAAGTTTATGTAAATTTGTGAGAGTCGAGTCGTAAACTCAACTTGTAAACTCGTAAGAGTTTACTTCAGATGAAAAAAATATTATATAAATAATATCTTAATTCAAATAAGTCTACCAAATTATATAACTTTAAATAAATAAAATTTATAGATATATTGTTCATAAAAATAAATATTGTAAAACATAAATATTTGGATTATTGTCATTAATTTTGACACATTTCATTAAGTAGGTGAGGCGATAGAGAGGCGCGATAGATAGTGACAATCAGGTCATGAAACCCTAAACTCCAAACGACCTTGTTTTTTTTCAATTTTCCCCCCTTTCAAGCTCGCATAATCGTTCCAAACTCGCGATTCTACATGATCCTACCGATGTCACAGTCGATTTTACCGAGTTTACACAGAAAAAAGTTTACTTCCGAGTTAACTCGGAAGCCATGTCTAGGAACGTAAACTCGTACGAGTTAACTCGGAAGCCATGTCTAGGAACGTAAACTCGTACGAGTTAACTCGAGAGTTTGATAACCACGGGGGAAGCTATTATAATTTATTGTATTTGTACATTGAATTTTTTGAATGAAAATTGAACGGAAGATTCCGAATAGCAAAGATTATTTGTTTACCCTAGAGACCAGATAGCAGAGAGAAATAGAAAGAGAGTTCATTCTAGTGTTTTTGTTAGCTTCTTTAGCTTAAACAGGAATAGTTAATCTATATAAATGGAGAGAGACAATAGTATTTAGGTTTATTTTCCATTACTCCACTTTGCAGGGAGGTTGGTTCAAAGGATTGGAGGGAATGGGAGAGACTTTAATAGAGGGCATGATAAGGGAGGAAAAGAAGGTCCTTTTGTTTGGTTAACAAGAGTAGAGATGGAAAAATATACATAATAAACTGTTCTACCAATGTAAATATTAATGGAAGGGATGAGAGTTGAAATAATATTTTATGGTAATTTAGCCAATTGATAGGAAGAACCTTGGAATTTGGGAGAACCACACCAGAAAAGTTAGTTTGTTGTAGTTGGAGAATGTGGGGCTTTATAAACCCGCACTAGAATTCCATACTTCCAGTGAGAGGCTCCGTTCCTGTATTTCACAATTATGTGACTCTCCTACTGCTGCAAATCTATGCCACAAAACCAATAAACCCTTGTTCTTATATAAATAGTAACTAACTAACTAACTCAAATCCCCTTTCTTCTTGATAGAACCTGTTTATTCACGCCAACACAATCTACATATTAAATCACTTTCCTTACCGTCCAAATTTCCCAATATTAGAGGCTTGTTAAAAATAGGAAGAGGGATTGTGGCCCTTCATTTTTTCCTTCCAAACTTTTAACCCAAATGAGGTCAAAAAAAGCATTTTTCATTTTCCTCCAACCAAAAGACTCTTCGCATTTTTTTTAATTCAATTAGTATGAGATTTTTTTTTCTTTTTCTCAAGGAAAGGGGAGGGAAAATGACAAGAAACTTGAGAGAATTGCATCTGATAAGCTAGGCATTATAATTGGAAAGTCCATTTCTCCTTCAAAAGTTTACTAAAGGGCTCCACTATAATAAATTTTAATTACAATAAGTATTTTCACTATTACTACTAGCTTACTTAAGTACACAATGCCACTCTTGACAAACCCTCCTAATCACCCATGAGATTAAAGCACCAAGTATTCTCTGACACTAAGTTGTTTTGGCTTTCATGAGTATTTGTAGTTGTCACTTTTGACTGCAAACAAGAGAGGTTTGATAATGATTATAGGAATGTAAAGAGTATATACAAATTCTTATCCATAGAAGGTCAAATTAATTTAAGTTCTTTTAGCGCTTTAGTTGAATTAGCAAATTCTATTGAGTGTATTATTACATTAAGATATCTTATTTTATCCTTTATTACTTCAAAACATAGTCTTATTTGTTGTCATCAAAGAACAAAGTGTAATGATAGTTTAACAGAACCCCACACTATAATTTCTTACCTTCCAAATGGATTTTAATAGAAAAAGTGTATAGATAATTTATTTCATGAACATTTACTACCATCTTAGTAATTTTATTAGGGATGACAATGTGGGCTGACAAACCCTTCATTTAGCCTGCAAAAAGTAGGCTGGACGGACTGACTCACATAAGAATTGTGGGGTACTTTTGTTGGCTTACCCTGCATAATAATTGGCCCGTGGCCCTGTCTGTAGATCAACTTGCTTAAACAAAATCTTGAAACAAAAACTACATACAAATGTTGTAACAATAATCTTGGTTTATTGTTTCTTATCTTTGTTGCACTTTATGAGTTTACAATTGACTAAAAAATTAAAACAAGCTAAATAAACACAAGATTAACAACTACATCAAATAAATATGTCAAAGTTAAATATTTCATGAACAAGGAAACATAAACAGAAACTATTGCCCAAGCTACTAAAAACCTATAGTAATTAACCATCATTTTGTCTTGACTTCAAAAGCATCACTGTTGTTTTTCCATATAACATTGGATAAAGCCTTGGAAGAGCTTCCATTTTCTACTCTTTCATAATTGTAATCTTCCCATTATCATCTGCATACATTTGAACAATGAGAAATGATGAAGTTAAAAAATAAATAATACAATATAAATAAGATCAGTTAAAGATATTTTATTACGCTCATAAAATTTGTGCTTCCAAATTGAAGTACAAATAATTGCTTCCACATTTTCAGGCAAGAGATGATCCGTACACTTGTTAAGGATTTGAGAACCAATGCTAATGCAAGCAAGAGAGTTGGCTTAGGGACTCAAGCGTGAAGTTAAGGAATAATGAAACAAAAGAAAAGAAAAGAGGACTAACTCACTTAGGATTAAAATACAGTGGAACTTTTGTTGCGGGTTATGCAGGCTAGCCTGCTCCATCTCGTTGTTGGCCTGCATGGTTGCAGGTTATGTCGAGTGGGCCTTAGTGGACTAGTGGTTTAAAATACTCAACCCTTCCTGCATTGTCATCCTTAAATTTTATGTCTAAAATTTATTCTTAGGTTAATGAATTGTAATTATGTTCTCCTTGTAAAGGTTATTAAGAGTATGTATGACTTATAGGACACTATTGGTGTTGGAGCTCCTGATCTTGGGAGTCCAACTTCTGCTTTTCTTCTTTATTGTTGTAGTTATTGTTCGTTTTGGGGTTGCTTGAAGTGCACCCATTTCCTTTAATTATTGGGGTTGCATGAAGTGCACCCAACTTGTGGTTCTATCATTTCTAACCCTAGCCACTATGATCCATCGGGGTCACTGATGGAGTTGTCGCCGGAGCTGTCATTATTGATGTTGTTGGAGCTTTCTATCTTACTATTCTATATTATCTAGGAGGGGAGTTAAGGAATCCTTACTAAATATGTTTTTAGTTCCTAAACTTTGATATGAAATTGAAATTTGTCTTTGTCCCAAACTTTGATACAGTATGGTTCCAAAAATGAATAAATATAATCCACCTAAGCCAATTTGTTAAAATTTTTTAACGTGTCAAAAAGGCTGTCATTTAAGTTTTTTACAGATTTGACACGTTCCAGCTCCAATGCTAGTCTAAAATGTCGTTTAACATGTAAAAGAAATTTAACATCGTTGGGATAAGAGAATTATATCCATTCATTTTTAAAGTTTGAGGATCAAAATGTATCAAAGTTTGGAACAATGATTAATTCCAATTTTGTCCAAGTTTTAGGACTACAAACATATTTAACCTATTTAATTTAGTATGACAACTTAAGATTTTGAAAATCTTTGCAAAACTCCTTCATCCTCTTCAATTGAAGAAGGAATGCTTGCGCCACATGCTGAAATTGAACGTCTAAAATCTCTCATGAAGTCTATTAGTAAGTCACCTTCTAGTACTTGCTCTCTAACCATGATTGGTAAGAGCTTCACTTCCTCTTTCAATGTTTCTAAAACTACATGTAAGGACTCTTGAGTTGTAGACTCTAATGCAACAGACCATATGACCCTTCATTCATCTCTTTTAACATCATATGTTTCTCTTCCTAGTAATCTGCATTACTGTTGCCAGTGGGACATGTATCCTAGTAGCTTGACATGGCAATATATCTCTTTTGCCATTCCTCAATCTTAAAGATGTCCTTTATATTCCAAAACTTTCTAATAAACTTATTTTTGTTTAAAAACTTAATGATGACATTGTTCTATAACCTTTCCCATTCAATGTGTTTTTCAGGATCTTGCAATGGGGATGACAATTGGAATGGTTAAGGAATAGGGAGAGTTGTATTGCTTTAACAACTTGAAAACTAAGGATAGTATTAGTATACCAACGGGTACCTCTTGCCTCCACTCTTGTACTACTTTTAAGTCCTCTCAAATTTGGCTTCTCCACCGTCTTCTAGGACATCCATCTGTTTCTCTATCATCTAGACTCTTCTTTCTTTCAGATTTCTCCTTTGAAGTTTATTATTTCAAGGAAAATCTTAGGAACAAATGTAGAGATTTTTGCAATCTCTTCAATTTAGGAGCCATCCAGAATTTTAGAAGCCAGAGGCAGTTTGAGTAGGTATTTTTTTTCTCTCTTACAGTTTTTTGAGGGATTTGGGGGAAGCGAAAGGAGATGCTCTAAGGGAATGGCTGAAATGTTAACATTGTTTATGTCTTATAAAGAGTATTTTGATCATATTCCTAACAAATGTGTGACATCTTAACACATTCGTCCATTTGTAGGATAGAGAAGCGATATTGGAGCGTGAAGTTTGCAAGAGTGATTGCACACAACCTAACATCGAGACTAAGTAGGGCCTACTGTGATGTTTATTTTAGAGTTGGAAGATTTAAGATGGAGTTAATGGAGAAAAGAATATTTTAGAGAGAATATCTAAATGAAAAGGGCTTTGTTATATTTAGTTGAAAAGATTCTTAATACATTGAGTGGGATCTATTTCCTTGGTGAAGATTAAATGGGGTGTAGCGTCCAAGGTACACGAAGATGCAT